GAGCCGCGGAGGAGGCCCGGGCGCTGAACGACAACAGAGCAGCCCACTTCAGTGTAGCCAGATTTAGAGCATGTCCCGCACACACATGCGCTCACACCTCCCATTCCCTCCTACTCTCTCTCTCTCTTTCTCTTCTCATCACCTCTGGAGTGTAAAGAGCATCGGAGTGTGTGAAGCCACCCTGAAGATCTCATCAAGGATTCAATCAGCGCTTGAATACAAAATGCACTCTCGTCTTGCGATGTGATGATGGGGGAAAAGATGTATTGAGAGAGCCTGTCTGGAGTGAAAAATCTCTGCATATGCAAATTGAACGTAAAATTTAAATGGAATTGATGTTCACAAGAGTATCTCTGACCCTTTCAGGAGGTTGGTAACGGGCTTAGGGGAAAAGAATATGTGCAGATTAGGCTATTAATATTTATAGATGTAATTGGTTGAGCAGTGTGGCATGAGGCCTTGTTGTGCCTGGTGAAATACAAACCACGTTTTGGGCTAATCCAGGTGGGTGCTCTTGCTGCCTCTAACAGGGAAATGGATGGCCATTTTAGTAGGAAGCTGGATATCCTAATAATCAGGTAAACTAATACCGGGTGGTGAGAGTGTTTCCTTCCGGAGCTCTTGGCATGTCAGTCATTCACAGAATTGCTCCTGTCTGGTCTGCCAGCCATTTTAGCTCAATGAAACGTGGATTTAGACCACATGGGCCCCTTTGGAGAGCTTCAGTATCCATGAGGAGGTTCCCCAACCATCACAGGGACCAACCAGACACTCCAACACACACACACACACACACACACACACACACCTCCTGCTTCTTAAATCTGAACAAAGCGTTCCTCAGTCTAAAGTGGTTAAACTGTCGTTTCAAATCGTCTGGACATCGTGATTACCAGCATGGGAGGAATTATATATTTAGCTTTATGTCTGTCGCCATTTCCTCCCCCCGCCCTGATCTGAAGTGACTAGCCAGTAGTGCCCTCGATATTACTATCTCTGAGGAGTTTAAACCTTCCCCCGGGAGACAAGTGTAATCAAGGGCTGCCAGCAGGAGAGAGGGAGAAAGAGGGAGGGAGGAAGATGAGAGGTGTGGGGTAGGTGGTGTAGACCTGTAGTGATGGTGGAGGAAATGACAGTGGACCTAATTTATAAATGTATCTCTGTGTTCAGATCCTTAGGGAAAAAAACACTGGATGTACTAAGCCAAGTCTTACTTAAAGAAAAATCCCTCTGGCATTTATTGAAGCAAACCTTTTAGATAGAATTTTGGCAGCATATCTGGACAGTATTTTCAGAAAATATGTTTGATTTTCTTTTTTCATTTGTTCAAATGACTACCAGACATTTGTCTTTCACCAAATGTAGGAAACTTTCCTGTGGTTGCTACAACAGGTGAATGTTTGCAAATTATAAATGAAATCATGTTCTGCCCTTGCAGTAATATTTTAGTAGGTAAAACTGTTCTTTTATTTAGTTTTTTCTTAGAGTAAAACTACCTTTTAAAAATCTGTTGTTGCTGTGTTATTCGGGTTCTTTACAATACAAATCCAATTGAGTTCGGTTAAACTGGACAGAATCAGTTAATGTTGCGCATGATTCTAGAAAAATCTTGCATTAAGTGAAGTTGCACTTGCGAGGATATCTCCACACATTGACAGATTTTTTTTCAGTTTTAAGAAAATAAGACTTTTGGGGCTCAGTGTGACTAAGATGCTGTGGAAAAGCAGCTTCAATAACATTTAAATTTCATGTGCTGTGTCCAGTGAGCATAATGCACAAAGAATGGTGGAAGCTGTTGGATTGAAGTGGAGGTATGCATGTACACATACACAGGTATAGCATTCTACTGGATTAGTATATTGAGTCATTGTTAAGTTAAATGTTTCTAAATATTTTCACCATATAAGGCTAAAAAACACTGACCCTTACTTAATCCACACACCCCCCAGCCTCTCATCTATCCTGAAGAGGCTCATTCATCCTCCACCGTGTCACCGCTTGTTCATGAATAAACGTGACCGTTAGGAAAGCAGATGAATGCAGCCAACGGATTGGACAGGAAGCCTGTTAATCTGCAATCCAATCCGGCCCGGGTCTAGTGAAACCTGGCTCAGCTTGGCTGGCTGAGGCCTGGGAGGAAGGAAGTGAAAGACTCAGGAAACGGTGTTCAGAGCTTTCACCAGTCATATCCATCACAGTGCATGGTGATGGAAGCTTGTGTGTGTGTGTGTGTGTGTGTGTGTGTGTGTCCCTATCTCACCAGTCATATCCATCACATGACTCTGTCTCCAGGCCCGGGCTAAAGAACCGGAGAGTCATTAGAGGGGCTGGGCTGCAGCTCTGCACTTTAACTAAACATCTTTTCCATAAAATAAACGCTTCCAGGTTACTTTGGGTGCCCGGAGAACCCGGGTCGCCTCGCTTTTGCTGCCACTCATCTGATCCCAATTACCAGACAGAGCCTGCCAAGATTTTGGATGTAGACTGGAGTTGTGCGTTAGACTACAATGAGGACCAGAATGGACCACACGATCCATATGTGGCATCCATTTGGCTTAAATCAACACATCGCTGCCCCACGTTACTCACCTTGCCCATCCTCCCTGTCACTGCAGAATATGTGCTCTGTGGTTAGGAACAATCTGTAATTTAATACAAGCCATAAATCACAAATCTATAACCAGTTTGTTTTTTGCACTTACGTGTTTTTAGTGTCTGGCTCGAGGGCATTTCAGTGGGTCATAAACTGCTATGGTGATCTAACTTTTGACTTATCTACAGTGGGAATCTACAGCAAAGTCACCTTACAATCTGTCAGCCAAATCAGAGCATATAAATATGACATTTGATATCTATGGGCCTGTTTCTTCACATAAATACATATTTACACTCACTATATCCATGTATAAAATAGGCAGCTACCGTCAGTGCAGACATGCAATCTGCATGTTTACAGTGCTTATAAAAAGTATTCACCCCCTTGGATGTTTTACCCTTTTATTGATTTTATAAATCAGTCATGGTCAATATAATTTGGCTTTTTTGACAAAAAAAATTACAAAAAACGTCTTTAATGTCAAAGTGAAAACAGGTTTTTACAAAATCATGTCAAATAAAAATATGTAATGGGAAATAAGTGATTGCATAAATATTCACCCCCTTTAAAATGACGGACCTAATTCAACAGAGGTCCAGCCAATTGGTACTAGTAGTCTCACAATTAGTAAAATGGGGATCACCTGAGTGCACTGAATGTGTCTCAAGTGATTGTAGTATAAAGACACCTGTATCTGGAAGGTCCAGTCACTGGTTAATCAGTGCTGCTGGCTATTGTTACACCATAAAGACAAACGAATACTCCAAGCAACTCAGAGAAAAGGTTATTGAAAAGTATAAGTCAGGAGATGGATACAAAAAAATGCCCAAGGCACTGAACATCCCCCGGAGTTCAATTAAATCCATTATCAAGAAATGGAAGGAATATGGGACATGTCTAAATCTGCCTAGATCGGGCCGTCCTCACAAACTGAGTGACCGTGCAAGAAGGAGACTGAGAGAGGCCGCCAAGACACCTAGGACCACTGTGAAGGAGTTACAAGCTTCGGCAGCTGAGATGGGAGAGACTCTGCATACAACAACTGGGTTCTTCACCAGTCAAAGCTCTATGGGAGAGTGGCAAAGATAAAGCCACTGTTGAAGAAAACTCCTAAAAAAATCTCAACTAGAGCGTGTTTGGCGGACACCAAACACTGTACACCACCACAGACACACTGCCCCCGCTGTGAAGCACGGTGGTGGCAGCATCATGCTGTGGGGGTGCTTCTCGGCAGCCCGCC